ATTTAATAGTATTCGTAATAGCATAATGAATGGAAAACATACCTGAGCAAACAATGGTACATATATTCTTAACTCATCTGGTAATCCTTCGATTTTACTTATCATCTTAAAATATGTAATTCCGTTAGTTGTTGTAGTTCGCCATTGTATAGAACAATCTTCCAAATTACGATGTTCTAATGGAATTCTTTTCATTTCTCGCGATATATCCGAAACATGTAAACTTGGCAAAACCGATAAATCCTCTTCGGCTTCTTGTTTCTTGATTAGTTCAATAGACTGTTCGTAAATCTTGTTCTTCTCTGGTTCAGTGAGAACAGAGGTTTTTGAAGATAATCTTTTTTCTTCTTCTTGGCTCAATTTTTCAGTATAGTGTGGATCGGGTTCCATTATACAGATAAGAGTGTGAGGATTTGTCAAGAAATATTTTTCTACCAAGTTTTGAAAGAATGGTTCACTTTTTATCCTCTCTTTTATTATTTCTATATTCTAAAAAAATATATATATTGAAAATCACATAAATGTAAAATGAAGAGATGAATTTGTGAAATATTTGTAAAAAAAAGTAAATAACCTTATTAATCTCTAAAATGTCAATAGGATTGCTATTATTAAACCATCCTGAACTTATACTGTGCATTAAACTCAAACCAAAATCCGAGGTTTTCTATAATTATAAAATTTTAAATAATATATAGAATCTTTTTCTAGAAAATATATCTCTGTATATTTAAGTAGTTTGACCCACATGTTTTTTTCCTAATTCTGTTTGATGAAGAGCTGCTTCAATTCGTTTTGAATCAAATCCATTACGATGAATATCTTCAAGAACTTTTTTTATTGTTTGTTCAGCCTAATTAAAGTTAGTATAAGTAACATATATTATAGAAAATAGATATGATAATTAATAGTAACATTATGATAAAATAATATCAATAAATAAAATATAATAAAGTTTACCAAAGGTACATCTTGTGATTTCATTCCTTGTAGTCCAATTGATAAAGAACTTATTCTTAAATTTATTTGTAAATATATATATTTTAAAAATTAGCTATTTTAAGTATAATTTAAAATCATGTTAGTAATTCTTTATCTACCTTGTAGATGAATCGTATCCTGTATTTTCTGAAAAATCCGATCCTATGTTTGTGTCAATCAAGGCTTTATACATTGGTGATGCATGACCATCTAAGAGAAGGTATGCAAATAGTCTCAGAGCAAAAGTTTCAACTGCATCCTGTTAAAATTAATTTTAATTAATCTAACCAATTTTATAATAACCAATTTTATAATTATAAATAAATAAAATTAGAAGAATTTACAGTTATGTCATTTGTGAGAAAGGAAACAGACATTTTTGTCTGTTTTTCAGGATTATTCACTAAATCCAAAATTGAATTATATTAGAAATTAATTAAAGTTATAATAATTATTAAAATAAAATTACTTGGATCAACAGGCCCATGAAAAACCATCCTTTGAGGTTTATCAAATGGTTTGACTATTTTAATTCCTTTATCAGGAATCAATTTTTTAAAATCTTTAATTTTATTGTTAATAGCCATCAAATGATTTTCCAGTGGAAAATTGCCTAAATTAACAGTTAAAATATTAAAATTAATGATTAATTAACCTTAAATGTGATACACACATACCATATGTATAAAACTTTGCATTGCTTGGATGATAATGAGATTTATGAAAATTTAAGAGTTCTTGGTACGTTAAATCTGTGATATTCTTTGGTTCTCCGCCGCTATTATATCCATAAGTTGTTTCTGGATACATATATTGCTGAACTTGGGAATAGTACAAGTATCCTGCGTCTGACTAACATATAAAATTTCTCGATTTGACACAACATTCCATCGAAAATGGTAAAATTATATTAATGTTAAATATTACCATCTGTCCTTTCATTTCATTATATACAACTCCTTTGAACTGCAAAGGTGTTGTCCTGTCTTCACCATAAAAGTGAAATAAACGTTATTTTTTTTTTTAAATTCCAATTATAAGGGCTATTTTATCTTGATGTCTATTACCATGAGGAATTTGATGCTCAAGTCGCCAGCCTTCTTGTCTAAAATCTAGTTCCCTTAAATATGGATGAAAAGTTGCATCCATGTAAACATCTCTCAAATTTTCATAATCCAATTGATGGGTTGTAGAAAATGGGTATATTGTATAATCATTGGCTGAATTACATATTTTTAAAAGAAATGAGAAAATTATTATCTAAATTTATCAGTTTTAAGATGATTACTTCAAACCTGTAAAAGCATTCATGAAATTCGCCAAACTACGGTTTAACATTTTAAAAAAAGGATCTCGCACAGGAAATTTCTTACTGCCACATAAGGTGGTATGCTCCTTTTAATATAAAAATTGAATGAAATTTAGTATTATATAAATTAATTATAAAAAAAAAAAAAAAAGGGTCTATGTATACCAAAATATGCGGAGTCCCACTACTATTCATAGGCGGTGTCGAAAACCCCACCCCAAAAACATTATTATCATCATCACGAACAATATGTAAATGCTCTGCGCCAGTAGCTTCGTGACGAAGCTGTATCGCTGTAAGTTCAAGTTCTGATATTTGTCTTGTCTACAAAAAAGTCGCGTGAGACATATTTACTATTATTGTATTGATAAAAAATAAAATCTACCTGTTCAATAAGAAATCCATGTATCCGATCTTTCGATTATGGTAAATTTTAATCAAAAATAAGATTAATCAATCTTCTATAAATATAATAAATATTACCTCCGCTTATAATAGAATAATTTCTTTGATTAATTATTGGTCGTAGATAATGTCTTGGATTAGTTATCGGACGTACTTTCAATGCACAACGTCTGATAAATAGAAAATTCATTTTTTTCTGAAAAGATTAGAAATCTGCAAATTCTTTATCCTTTATACCCAAAAAAAATTATGTGCAGCCAATTAAATTACAAGATCTGGTGTAACTAGGGTGGGCACAAGAAATTTTTAAAGATAAAATTCGTTTTAGAATATCTATTAATCGATTCATCTCATGAGAGATAGGCGCGATAGCTTCGTCATCTCGCGCGCTAGGTACATCTCTGAGCATGCTTCTATAAATCTGCAGCATGCATCAGTATTATCGTTATCTTTATAGATTCAGTTAATATTAACCAATCAACAAAGCGCATCCGTTTAACATATGTTTTTGAATATTAAATAAAATGAGCATGCCTTCTAGCTTAAAGGTGTGCCCTTGTGTAGGGTCACCATTTTAGCAGCCCAGCCCAGCCTGCTTTTATAGTTATTATCATGAATCCTGGGACAACGGTAATTGAATCGATAAGTTACTGATCGGAATCAATAGGTCATTAACTTCGGCTGAAATTCTCTGTAAGTGCATAGGACTATAAGTGCACCTTTCCTAGTTCTCAATTGACTTTAAATGACCGAATGACGATGACCACTAGTAATAAGACTTATTATAGCTATTATAATGAAATTTTCTAAATTAATTAGTTTTTGATTTGAGCTTTTATGTTCAAATGACTTAAATGACTTTTAAATGCAAATGGATGTTGACTCCCTTGGCGAGTACACGTATGTTTATTCGGAAACATTATCAGAAAATGTAATTTATTCTCAAAATTTATTTCACGGTATTCAAAACTGATCAATCAGATTAGTTATAATCAGGCGAACAAATGTATGAAACAATGCTCTTTTTGAGTTGAAAATAATCTCTTCAACGAAGATTATAGTATTTTTGATTAGATACGTAATACTTGGAAGGGTTGGGCTAAAGCGATGGTAATTTGTTCGAAAATCGCGAGACGACTAATTTCAATAAAGTATTCAGTCCTTACTATTTATATCCGATACTTTGCTTTCTTACTGTAATTAGTTCATATCGTTTATTATTAGTTTTTATCACTGTATCTCACGAAAAAAAAGAATAATGAGTGCCAACATTGTTTTATGTTATCGTGTAAACCCTCGTAAGTCTTTAAATATTGCTGATCTAGTTTACCGTTTTTTGACTTGAAAAACCTCATAATCGTTAGCAAAGAAATTGGATACATCCATAATACTATGCTCATACGACATTCTTCTTGATGAACCAAAAGTTCCAGTCATCCAAAGATCACCATCTCCAAAACAAGGGCCATTCAAAGTAGAATAGTAAAACGCATTACTAGTTACCACAACCCTACTCAACACTGCATTTTTCAGATCATCATTAACATTAAACGAAAACACAAAACTATTTACAATGTTTTCATAATCTCTCATTAGAGTGAGTGGTCCCAAGAACGTTCGTTGCCATGTACACGGATTATACCCACCCACCACTTTATTGCTGTCCTTTAATTTTATTATTACCACAGTCCCGACTTTGTCGTCACACAGGCTATGAAATGTCGATGCATCAAAACCATCACGACTTCCACGAACAAGTAAATTAAATTTGTAATTGATTTTACAATTTGAACAATCATTATCATGGACATTTCCATCAATCCAACTACTTATAAGTCCAGCATGGATGGATTTAATGATATGAGAATCTATAATCGTTAAACGAGAAGGTAAAATTCTAGTAGTAAGTTCACAACCAGGTTTCATAAAATATTTAATAATGTCCTCATTCAATTGTTTTGGTAAAATCTTTTTGTAAGGAACTCTAACCTTATCATACAGGTCCGTTGAAGAAATTTGAAAAAATCTAATTAATGGTATGCAATTATGTAAGGTTTCTTCCAGAGCTGCAAAATCGCTTTTAGACCAATTATTTATATCGTGATTATTTTGACTTAGAGAGATTGTATGTTCTATCCCCCATTTTATGAGATATTTCCAGATATCAATTTCGTCAATCCCTAGGTCGTCACGTTTTAATAAATGAATCATGATTGATTCAGAGAGTAATAAATAGTCATTATTTACACCAAAAATTAAATGAGGATCCCTACACACTATGCCAAGCACATGTTCACGAAGTATGTCAAAATCTTCATGTTTTGATATTATATCAAGAACAAGTATTAGATTTTTGCTGAGCCAATCGTTTTGTGTATTTGTTATATGAGTTTGCGCATGTATACATAGTCGTTGAAGTTCTAATTCATCTGAAGCGATTAATAGTGCGATCGAATCTGGACCGTTTAAGTGCTCTAAACTCTCACTTCCGTAATAAATAAACCTAGTTAATACACAATCATAATAACTGGATTAATAAAAAAATATCTTCGTATATATATAGTATAGTACCGTAAATGGGCGTATAAAAAGATCCGTAGACCCCTATGTGCCAGTCTAGAAATCTCTATTAATCAAATGCGTTTTTTTGCCTATTACAAATGCAAAATGTGCGAGTGCTTTTTAAGTCTTTTTTTTTACGGAATAAACTCTCAGCTGTATACTATATCCGGTGTCTATTAGAGTGTTTAAAATTGACAAATACAGAGTCTTGTATACGGTCATTTACGGTATAAAATGATGCATACTTTAAAATAACTTCAAAAACCTTTGGTGCAACGTTTGGCTTTTTAAGAATATAAATATCCTCTTCCTTCCTAGCCCATTTGTCCGATAATGCAATTCTAAAATAAATGGATCTTTCGCATAACACCAATGAATGGGCCTTAAAAGATTTGAACTCCAAATTATTTTCTCCCCCAACTTCAATTATGACATTTGCATCATTTGTATCATCAAATTCTATAGCAAACTCTGTCGATCCTAAGTCAGATTTGGTATCATGACAGAGATAGGAAGTCATAGTTGGATTATGATAAAAGTTAAGAATCTAATTTTTAGAGAATCGTAATTACAAGTGTTTTGATAATGTTGGTCTTAAGATTTAGCTATTTAAACATTTAAGAACATTCTATCAATCAATGTTGAGTAACATTACGTAATTAAAAACGGTTCATTTCGATGGGTTGATCGATTATGCAATGTCAATCGGTTCCGCATCAATTACGCTTAAACGGAACCGATTAGCACGGTTGATCGGTCCTTAGCCATTCCCGCCTAAATTATTCAAATATGTACTATAATACAAAAATTATTAATAAACCTCTATTAAATATGGTTATAAAAAAGAAATTTTCCACAACTTTTACTTATTAACTGAAGGCCGATTAAAAATGTCGAAGTCGAGCTCACAATCGCTGCGGTACAGATTAATATCCCTTTCCTGAATGTTGATGTTCATGCATACTCTTAAATATACATTTTGTCCAATTTTGATTCTCCCTAAATCAACGTGTGCATATGATACACGTGTAAATCGGGCGTTACTTTGGAGGCAATTGTACGGCTTCCTTATTGAAGTAACTATTTTCCGTCACAAGAATGAATTCGCAGCCACAAGTATTTATCATTGGATCAATTTTTTCTTCCATACGCTATTTGTTACATCTGTCAATCGAATTTCGCATTTTTGATAGACAACACA